ACTATCATTAGAATCAGAAAGACCTACTTTACAACTTTTATATAAGAATTAAAATTTATTTACTTAATATATTTTTTTCAAAAAATTAAATATAAAAAAAAATAATAAAAATTTGCAACTAATTATATATAGAAATGATCAACGTTGTACTCTACCCTTAATTATGGCATCAATTTTTTTCCCAATACTACGGCGATCATTGTCTTGTAAATATTGATTTAATAAAATTGCTAAACATTTCAGTACCTTTTCACCCCTAATTTAATAATTGTAAGTAAGTTTAAATAAAAAATAGCAATAAGTAACAAATTAATTATGCTGAAACTTACCAATCAAAATTCAAATATAGATAATCCTTAAACAGGACTTTGTAGACTGGAGAAATAAAATTAATAATGTACTGATATTCTGTTTGTATACTTTTGAAGGAATTTTTCCCATTTTCAAATTGATTGCGGCTTTAAAATTTATTAGAATTAATATTAGAAGAATTCATTGAAACATAAATGTAAAAAATACAAGAAATATATGTCTAAAATTATCATATAGATCTAATAATATTATTGAAAAGCAATTTTACTATAATGCCCACCGCCTTAGCTAAATCCCAAATCATAAATCTCTTTATAAAAGTGTGAAATTAATCAGTAATATTGATTAAAAAGAACCATCAATATACTTACAAAACCTTCGATATTTTTAATACTTGCTTTTTCCAGCTAGTATTATCACTAGTATTTTGCCTCAACAAGGAACGATTTGATTTGATCGTTTTTCTTAAATTTTCAAGTGAGTTCTAATAATAAAAATGTTAATATTGAACAAAGCTGTGTTCAATATTTATATATTATTTGCTTACCACACCCGCAAAAACGCCTTTGGCATAACTTTTAATTTGATCAGTTTTTGTTATTTGATCAGAAATTATGTCTTTTGTTACTTGATCCGACGTTATATCTTCCATAATGTCAACCATCATATCCCAAACGTCTTTGAAGAGACACCGCGCCTTTGTTGCTGATGAGCTGACTGTATCGATTATATTATATCGCAAGAGACTGTAAAATATAGTTATTAATAAATATATTCATAAAACAATTCATTGTATATAAAAAAAATGTTATTGACTAACTTACTCTTGCTTAAGAATTTCTAAGATGTGTTTGGATTCCTGTCGCCACTCCTCTATTTTTAATCGAATATCTATGTTATTAACAATAAGGGTATTATTTTGAACGCCTTGTTCTTGCTGCTTGCATACACAGTTACAATTGAATTAGTATTAAATTTTGAATCAAAGAACACAAGAATCAAAATAAAAACGATCGATTCTTCTGATTCCTAAAAAATTTTTATTAGCACAAGTATAATAGCGTGAACTAGATCAAATAAAATAGATTTAAAGCTTACAAATAAGAGTTTTTCAAATTGGCTTTTATTGTTTCCCACATCTGAGTTGCAAAATCTTGCCTCGTTAAGGACTTTTACCACTTTGATTACATAAATTTTGCCTGTATATCTCTATTTTTATAAAGAACATAATTAATAAAAATTTTTTTGTTGAATAATTATTTGCTAATTAAAATATAATACAACCTTCGCTCTTTCAAGAATAATTTCTTGAAAAAAAGACTTCATTGACCTATGCTGAACGTCCTATTTAATAAAGCGCAATGAGTGAGCACCGAAAACTTAAGTAAAACTTCTGAACCGGACTATATCATCCAGAACCTGATCGGACTATATTATAGAATACAACTGCAACCCAGATCCTCCAGCTCGGACTGTATTATAGAATACAACTGCAACCCAGAACCTCCAGCTCGGACTGTATTATAGAATACAACTGCAAACCGGAACCTCCAGCTCGGACTGTATTATAAAATACAACTGCAATCCAGAACTTCCAAGTCGGACTGTATCTAAATATAACTGCAACCGGTCTCCAGATAGACTATAACTTCGACCCAGAAGCGCTCTTGACTCATCACTCGGGCACCGGAAAACTGCGGCAAAACCTCTGGAACGGACTATATCATAAATAGGGATTGGCAAATCGAAGATTTGAAAATACTGCCAAATTTCGATGGTGTCTGAATACTCCGTTCTTTCGAAATATTCTGCTGCGCAGCAGCCCAACCCTAATCATAATATAACTTCGCTCCAGAAGCGCCCTTACACACGATAAAGCTTTTTTGGGAATTAGTATAAAACCTTTCCTTACTTTGTTGGCGTGAGCGGTATACCTTCTATACCAGGCACCATGTAAACCGGACCAATCATCACAATACGGGGGTGACGTTATAATTGTTCCTTTATTTCATTTAAAAAATCTTCGTACGTCCATTCCTCTTCATCGTGGTTTTCAAAATACTGTAGCTTAAAAAAGATCAGTTTATTATCAGGAAAAAATCTACAAATTTGAGTATATACCATTATCTCAGTTAAAAAACTAAATTTATATAGTACTCTGTATTTTTATGTTTTTCGCGTTTGTATTGTTACACAATATCCTGTAATTTTATTGGATCCGGATAGGGTCGGAAGTGATCTTCAACTTGACATAAGCTTGACATCATAGGCAGAAGTTTGTTTGATTGGCTAATATTACATTATTTATACAGTTTAGAGTACTTTTTAACAAAATGAAAACTAATCATCATAATGAATAAACAAAGTTGTATAGAAGGTTTCATTAAAGCTGTAGGACTACATAGCCAAAAATAAGATCTAATTCTCGTCCGTTTAAAAAACTTAGTATAATAACTTCTCAAAGCCCGATAAAATCAACTTATTACTAAGCTAATTTTTTTAAACGGTGAGAATTAGATCTTATTTTTTGACTATGGAGTTCCATAGCTCTAATAAACCTTCTATATAGTTTTTTTTATTTATTATGGTTGATTTTCGTTTTTTTTAAAAGTATTCTAAACTGTATAAATAATGTAAAATTAAATTGAATTTATTAGCCAATCAGACGGACTTATGCCTATGATTTGACATAAGGGTACTAGTTTCGTTTAGACTAAATTTTACACAGTTTACATCAGTTCACCGTTTCTTTCTTGATATTCTTGCAACGATCACTATAATGGTCAATTAAGAAAAAATATAGTTGTAAGTTTGTTCTGATAGTAATTTTAATATAAAGTCAGTAGGTCCAAAAACCTTTAAACGAAAATCTTAGTACAAGTAGTAATGTGAGTTGATAACTACTGGTAAATATCTACCACTGGTATCTACTGGTAGATACCGTTAGGTTATTAATTTGCAGAGTAGGTACCATTAGCTAAAAACAGAAATCAATAGTATTTACCTATTTACGTATTATATACTGAATATAATACTTTTAATAATATTACCTAAATTATTTGAATAAATATATCTGAATAGTATCTGGATTGCAAACACTAATAAATATATACTACATCTCAAGTATAGCAATTGGTGGATCAGATTTTAATAATTTGTAAGTATAATTAATTTTTTTTTTTAAATATTAATGGTGAGGCCATGCCTCTATCTTTATTGAATATTCAATTGAGATTTTACATAAAGTACAAGTCTACTTTTAAAATATTATAGAAAGAATAGAAGCTCAGACTAATTTATCTGCGACCTAAACCAACCGGAGTGGCCAAGGCTCACCGTGAGTATAATTAATCTAAATATTTAAAGTAGGTTTTTATACATATTTATTTTAATTTAGCTCTAAATATAAAATATTCATTAATTTATATATAAAATTAGCCATTCAAATTTATAACTATTATTTTAACTACAGTCAAACCTCTTTATAATAACACTTTTGGTTTAAAAATTTGATGCTTATAAAGAGTTTGTGCCTATATAGAGGTTAAATTTTATAAGTGTTATACAGTTAGACCTCTTTAATGTCACCTTATCTCTAGTCACATTTGCTTTTAATCACATAAAATTTTAAAACCAACTTATATAACACTTATAAAATTTAACCTTTATATAGGCACAAACTCTTTATAAATATCAAAATTTTAAACTGAGAGTGTGATTATAAAGAGGCTTGATTGTATAAGTTAGTTTTAAAATTTTATATAATTATAAGCAAATATAATTGTATGGAAGGTGGCTATAAAGAGGTCTGACTGTATATTATTTTATTTACATTAATTCTTCAAAAATATAAAAATTACTTGTATTTAAATAAAGATCTCATAAAATAACTAATTGTAATATAATATATTTATTATATTCTCTCTTATTGATGGGTACACAAGGGCATGTTGCTTATCGTTATCACAAATTTTGTCATGTGACAACTACAGTCACGCTCCACTTCCTCAGGGACGATCTACGGACACGTACCAATTCATATGACTTACACGTACCCTAACTTTAGGGTAAGTATTTTTAGCACATGACAGGTTTTAGATTTATTATAGGTACGTACAAATCACGTGAATCAGTACGTGTCCGACTTCCTCAGCATCTCCAACAAATTTTTCGGTCACGTGATGCTACAAAATTCTTTAGAGTTCGCTTATGTTGGGGTTTGAGTTAGGCATAAGGTTAAAAAAGGCCGGCATATAGTAAAAATTTTTTGTTAGAGCATGAAAGGCGGGTTATTAAGCAGAAGATAATTTTTGAAAACGAACGTTTCTTCTGGATATTCCTGATTGTGTTATGTTACACAAATGTGTGATTTGTTATTGGATAGTTAGTCACACTCCCATATGAGCACCTCTTATATACTCATGTCACTTATATAAGCACATTGATTCTGCTATTAAATGCATAAAAATAGTTCCCTATACTCTACATAGCACATTTTATATATCGATATAAGAAAACTTTTTGTAGCCCGATAGCGATAGTGTGATTATATGAGAATTTGATGACTACCCAAAAAAAGAGGATCGTCTAAAGTCAGGTTCGGGCACGTGACCAACAGCTAATCAAATAATAAAGTTCTAATTTACCCGACGAGACAAAAATAAAGAAAAAAAGTGAAACCCAGAAAATGAGTGTCTAAACCTGTCTCGGCGCACTAATAAAAAAATGTTGGGAAGGCAATTTTACCTATAATAACTGCCCTAAACCTAACATCCAACTAACCCTTATCCCAATTTAACTAAGTAATCAAAAACATATAAACGAACCTGGCTTTAGCCATCTCCAAAAAAGGAAATCACTACCGACACAGCCTCGTCGGCCTTATCGACATAGCTATGACCAACATTAACATTATGCCCACCATTATCGTTATAATTAATGGAGATGTTACAATCCGTTCATATATTTAAAGCACATGATGTAATAATACTGGTCGACTTTTGTATGAATGATGCTAAAGGAAAACCAAACTTCAGACTGTCAAGTTTAATCATTTATTGTTTACCGAATTCAGTCCTGACGGCGACAAATATGATACATGATTAAACTTACTTACGTATAATAATACATATGTTTTCTGTCAGTGTTATGGACATATCGGTATCAGTATATCTCAAGTTTTAGACTGCCCTAGTGTTACGCCTAAAACAGCTTCAATGTATTTTAACTACCCAGTGGCACCGACAGATTTTCACTGATCGACGGCGATTGACCAATTATATTACAAGATCAGGTGTAACGTGAAATCAAACAAAAAAAACCACCGTAACTCAAAATTTCGTCTATGTAACCATCTTCTGCGCGTTAGTAAAAAATTCCTTGCAAAATATTAGTATAAGACAAGCATCGTTATAATTATAAACCTGAACCTAATGTACCGTTTTATGACTTTAAAAAAAATGTCGATCAGTGAAAGTCTGTCGGTGGCACTGGGATAGTTAATGAATTTTAGGTTGTATTTGATCTTGAAATTTGATTTGACCAGACGACAATGTTTTTTAGGTAGTTACTATCCTTAAACCGTCAGCTACAATATAGACTATAATCCAATATAATTTGGTAGCTCAAATCACAGATCAATTATGATTTAAGCATACACTAGACATTTTAAGGGATAAAAGTGGTTACTTTAATAAAGAACCGAGTGTTTAAGCACCACTTAAGTAAATTTATTCGAATAATAAAAAAATAATAAGGTGTCTTAACAATATGCATACATGTGAGGGTGATGTAATTGGACATATATTATACTGGTTATGTAAGAAGTTATGTAAAATTTGCAAAAAAATTTATTAAAATGGGCATGAGGCGTTATTTCGAAATCGTATGTTTTGTTTCAGAATAATGCTCGCGGAAGTTCTGAAATTAAGAATTAGGATCATTTTTCTGTTTAAGATTGTTTTACACTTTTGGGTCAAATTATGATTTTTAATACTGACTAAATTTGCAGTTAAACATAATTAAAATATTTAAATAATTAAAAAAGTTAAGTCTTTTTTTAAAATAATATACATCTTATATAATAATATACATATAAAAAATAAAATTATTTTTATTGCTTGTGGTAATCATTATTACAATATTATATAATATAAATAAATAAAATGCATAATAATGTTTTATAGGTAAATAATAGTTTGTACTAAATTTTTGCAAAAAGTTTTTATTAAAATGTAAAAAATTGGGTTATAAAAATTTATTAAGTTATAAATAATTGTTTGATTTTTGATTGTTTTTTTTGAATTTTTTTTAATATTAAAACAAGGTTATTTTTTTAAACTTTGGTAATCTTGTTATTAACTTTTATTAAAAATTTTATATATAAGTTAGTTAAGATATTACTTAGATCTGAAGATTGTGTCAAGCTAGCCTATAGGATTATAAAAAATATTTATATATTTCTATTCATGAAGTTTTTAATAAATCCAAATTATGTTTCTTAAATTTTATTATTATTATTATTTTTTATATATTAATTTTATTGCAACTAAGTTCTAACTATTTACACTTATATATATTAGTCTTATATTTATTTGTCTTATAATTATACGTATAATATATGTTTTTTTTAGTTTCTTTTTTTTTTCTTTTTTGGTTCTTTTGCTAATTTTAACTTTTTTTTTTAATTGATAATAGTTTTACATCATTTTTATTATATGTTTTTATAAAAGTTATGCTACATTTATTGTTATATTTGATTTTTGTAGGAGTTCAAATTAGGTCTTAAAGCATTTTTGTAGCTTTCTCTTGTGTTAACCTTTTATTTTTTTCTTATTAATTGATGTTTAAAAGATTTTTTTTGTTTTATTTTTTTTGTTTTTGTTTGAGTAAAAGTTTATATTAGATTAATTGATAAGTTTTCTATATCTTTCTAAAATGATTTTGGTCTTTTT